CCCCAAAACCCCAAAACCCCAAAACCCCTTTTGAAACACGAATCATTGAAATAAAATAAAATTCTATAGGTCTAAAATATAGTTATCAGCCCCTAAATTGCTAATTTTTTACCTAAAGATATCCAGATTCGCCCATTGGCAGATTATAGTAGTATCCAAATATGCTGATGAGTCTCATTGCATGTAAAGGGACAAGCAGTTGGCCAAAAGCCTTATCAAAAGAGTAAAATTTCCACAAGTATTTTTATCTACAATACTAAATTAGCTAGCATTCAGAGGAGCAATAAAGCTCAGCTGATGGTTATCTCATTTCTGTTGATTTTGGTATCCCATATCTTAAGTTCATTCTGAGAATTAGTGGGCGTACATTCTGTGTTCTGTTCAAGAGCCTCACATCTTTTGCTCATCTCTTCAAGAGTTTCAAGGGTCTCTGTGTAGAGGTCAAAGTAGCTCTGCTCCATTCTTTTAGTCTTCTCTATGAAAAGTTATAAATTATGCACAATTTGGTGCTGTTCGGAGATAATTTAGCACATCGTTGGGAAATCCTCAGTTTTTATACCTTAAGACCCAGTGGAATTGATCCAAACACAGAGTAATAATTTTGAAGACTGGTACAGAACTTAAGGATATATACAGCCATGATTAAGCTAATTTCTTTGATTCATTTATATCCTAAAACACTTTTGAATGTTCTGATTTGAAGAATCCTTACCAAGTTCATGTTTCAGGTCTCTGAATTCTCTATCTCTTTGCTGTAAAGGGATCTGCTGCTCGTCCCTCAGCTTAATCTGGTCAAGGCATGTTTGTAATGATTTGTCATAGTAACTCCTCAATAGGTCTTCAGACTCTTTGAACATTTTCAAGTGTTGGAAATGAATGTTCTCCTGGCTTTTAATTGTCTTAAGAAGTTTGGAGGTATTCTTTTCAGAGAGGGATAGCTGCTCTGCTGAAGCCTGAAGGTTCTGGGTGAGTTCTTCTCACTCATTATGCTTCTTCTCGAAGCAGTACTTGAGATGCTCGAATCTCTCCTCAACTTTTTGTATTCTTTTCAGGTCTCTGGTGAGTCTGGAGTTTTCTTTCTCTTCTTCCTTGAGGAGATCCTTGAGAGTCGAGTTCTCTTCAGAGAACTTTGTAAGTCTTTGCTTAAGCTCAGAGATTTGATCTAAGTCAAGTTATTATACCGGGATTTTAATGTACTTACTCAGTAGATGACTTTCCTTTGTCTCAAACTCTTTCTCAAACTGTTGTAAATAACTCACAGAGGATCTCTTCAAAGAACTCTGGTTAGGATACATCAGTGAGGAATTGTCATTTCAGTTGAATTTTCTTTGTAAAATTCCATTTATGGTTACTCTCTGTCTCTGATTCCCACCGTGAAGGTTGAAATTTTTGTATGGTACCATTGACGATCTATGATCAATTGTACGGAAGGTTGTAAATGGCTGCAGAAAATCTATGATTTAGCCTGTATGCGTACTATCTGAGGAATCTTTTAAAGGAGACTGATTCATTGAGAGCATCTTTTCATCATCTCTGAGATGATTGTAGTACTCGTTATCTCAAGCCCTGTCAAATAAGTCGTCTTCTTCGTCACTATAAAAGAAGGAAAATGTTAAAATTTCTGTGACAATGATAAATATTGGTGAAAGAAAAAAATAAAACAACCCAAGAACATAGCAGGAAGATTTGAGAATCTATATCTGATTGTTTTAAGGAAATTCCTCAATGAGAAAACTTTTAAACAACAATAAAGAGTATATTCCTGCTCCCCATCTCGATACTTCTTGGTCTAAGAAAGCCAATCAAAGCCTAAGCTCTCCTACTCTAGATGGGTTATGTCTTACCTTAACAATGAATCGATTAGCATATTGTCTGTCTCTTGTCTTGGGTTAAAGCCAACTGAGTTCCTGAAATTAAGAATCTCAGCATTTGACTTGATAAACGAGGTTGATTTGTTGCAGTCAAGAACTCCAAACACACTCTCGTCATCAAAATGATTCAATTTGAAAAGTACGGAATCTAGGACCTGGAACAACCCTTTGAGGAAGGAGGGTTTGACCTCAGAGGTCTTTTCATGGCTGAAATCCAGCCCTCTTGAGATTAAAGATTCCTCACTATCTTTACATAGGAAACTAACAAGTATCGTGAGTTTGACAAGCTCCCATTTTTCATCAGAAGTGATCATCTGAATGTTAAACCTAGTCTTCAAAGACTTGAGGTAGGATACTGAGTCGAAGTTTCGAGCACGAAGGAATTTTTGGAGACCGTACAGGATCGGAACGTACTCATTTTCATTCACACCTCCATCAGGAATCCTGAACTCATCAGGCTTCATGTAATGCAAGATGTTCTTAAGGAATGAGCAGTCTCAGATCGCTTCTGAGGTGAGTAAATCTATATCTTCTATAACAATGACTGAAGATAAAAGTCTGAGCTTCTCCCTTTTCTCATTATCTGTCATTCACTTGAAATGGAATGAAGGGTTTACCTACATAATTGTGAACTTTTAATTTACCATGCTTTCTGCAGGACTAGTTTCAGGAGTCAGATTCCTTTCATTAGTTGAGGTCTGGCCTGACCTTAATCTTGTCTTAACAGTTAAGGAAGTATTTTCTCCCTCAAGGTCATCTTTATCAGAGAGATTTCTTTTAGCACTAGCTTCTTTAAAGTCTTGTAAAGGGTCTATAAATATATGAAAATGTTGCATAAAATATGACTAAAAGTGCATCAAATTTAGCTAAACTCTCTTCTCCTGAGGTTCTCTTCAAGAGGGTGTTTACCTGTTGAGAATCACTCGTACTGATACTTGAGGTAATTTTTGAAGTACTCGATAACGAAGTATTGTTCTGAATCCTCCATGGATGTATAAATTATATATCTCTTAAGCCAATTATTTTAAAATAATTAGGGGTTTTGGGGTTTTGGGGTTTTGGGGTTTTGGGG